ACCACGCACGCACCAAGCACATTGACATCCGCTACCACTTCATCCGCTGGATCGTCGAGAACGGCTTGCTGCACCTGATTTACTGCCCGACTGACGAAATGGTTGCCGACACGCTTACGAAAGCGCTACCTTCCGCGAAGGTGAAGCATTTCGCTTCGGAGCTAGGGCTGCGCACGGTTTGAGGGGGAGAGCGTAGGATTGTCGAGGGAAGTACGGTTTGAGGGGGAGTGTTGGAATTGCAAACCATAACGTTCCTTTTGCTTACTACATTTCGTATATGTCATTCGTTGATTTTTTGTCTCTTCATGTCATTCTTTCGTGCTCGTCTCGTTCCTGTGGCTTGATTACTAAGTACTATACAGTTGCTTGCCTCTCGTACGATATGTATCTACGCTACGCTCTGGCCCACCTCAGTGATTTCCCCATTTATTCACTGAGGTGAGCTATTCTTATACCCTACGTCGAGCTTCTATTCTGATGTACCTTAGTCCTCGTCTCTCGTTCTAGGTACATCGCGCTTCATATAGAGTGATTTCCCCATTTATTCACTGAGTCCTCGTCTCTCGTTCTAGTAATTCTACATACGCACCTCTCGAGAGTGCCAGCCGTTGTCGGCATTGCATACGGTTCAATGAGAACCGCAAATGGATATGCGGGTGCCACGCTAATGTTGCTGTCTCCAAACGAGCCACCAGCTCCTCGCCATCGATCACAGGAAGCAGGTTAAACAATGGACGTTGTAGCAGGACCCTGATGAGCCTGCCACTGATGTCAAGTGTAGTTGCGAAGCCCGACAGGACTGCTACTGACACTGTTGGCACTGATGCGCTGCATTGAGTCCACGCCCACAAAAGTCGAGTACAAGTGTTGAGCCGAAGGTGGGGGGAGCTAAATAAAAGAAGGCCGGGTCCAACATTGCACGAAGGACACCTCATGCCTGGTGTGCACGAGAGAAAGAGAGGAAGAGCGAGGAGCGTTGAAGTAGGTATCCAGTACGTGGCCTCTCATGCTCATGCCGATGCCTAGCTTTACCGTACGTGTGCTGTCGTTACTTCACAGGCAGGGCACGAGCGTACTAGGTAGGGACACGTGCATGGTAGGGGTAGGAGGTTGGACAGCTCGACGACAGGCGCGCCAATGCCAGCTGGCAACGGCGCGTATGACATAGATACAAGCGCCCAAACATGAGCACGTGCATGGACACGTGCATGGAGACATCTAGGATTACAGCACTTTCCGACGGTCAGGGTTACGAATTCCGACATGGGAACACCCTTGCAAGCAAGGGAATCTTCCCGCGTGTATCTTCCGAGCCTCATAGCACCACAACGAGCCATCGGATTCAAATGAAAATAATATGTCTGAGATCGCGTTGACGAGGGCTTTTGCGCCCCACCATTTTCAAGCAAATCCGTTGAGAACTGAGAGAGAACTGTAAAGGCCGCTTAAAAATGCATATTTCGCTATAGGAGGCTTTACTAGGACACTACAGACTTCGAGGGAGTCGTAAAAATGGCCGGGGGTATTGTTAGTTGTATGCCCCATCGAAAATTTGGCGGAATTCGATGCAGAAATGAGTGAGCAGCTGCTGTGTCGGGGTTGCCCGCACAGTGTCTGCATTGCATGGGCTGCTGTCACGAAGACCATTTAAATAGCCCTGCCACATATGCGTGGCTCATCTGGACATTTGTGATTCCATTCTCTACCATGGTCCGTGGGAGACGACTCTCCAATGACCTTTGGGAAGGCCATCAGGAAAAACCTTCCGTCTAATTGGCTGCTAATTGTCAGCTAATTAGAGGAACTGCTAATTAGCAACTAATTACCTCTAATTTTATAAGTC